GTTAGCTATAGGGGTACTTTCACACCAGATGCAGTGCGTTCAAAATGCTCCAAGCACTATTTTGATTGCACCGGACTAGACCACAGGCACAATGTGCGGACGATCGCCTTGCGGTCGGATGGCACGGCTACGGTCCCATTTGCTTCAATGGCCCGCCAGGCCCCCTCCTGTCCCGCAAAAAAGTGAGCCGGCCGCAATGCGTTCTGGCCAGAATTGGGTGTGAACCTAGCCTAAATGTGTGATGTTCTGCACAGGAATTACCTATTTAATAAAAAGAAGATGCCCCTCATAAATGAACTATACTTACGCCAGAAAGAGTGCCAAAGTCCAAAGGATTTTTTTAGGTGATTCCACAAATGACAATTGCAAAGCAAAAAACAGCCATTGTGTTTTGGAGGCAAGTAAAACCCCCTTTTATCAAGGCTACAGCATTGGCCCCAGAAATGTGTTAGGTGCTTTTTTATTTCCTATAGTCATTTGTAGAATAAATAAAATCCTTTGAACTCTTAAGACATTTGGTTGGCACTCTTTCACATATGTATAGACAACATACAAAACAGCTATAACTACATAAATAAATAAAATAGTTTAAAAAAAATATTTTATAATATTTATACCAAACAAATTTACTTTTGTATTTTAATATAAACATTAGTAGATGGGTCTGAAAAATGTGCAGTTTCATAAATGTATTCTAAAGTGAAGAACATTGAAGACTCCCTAGCTACAGTCACTCCCAACAGTTGTTATGATTCAGGCAGATCAGAGCAAGTCAGATGTTTAATTGGCATTGGCTATATATACGGATGGGTGGTGGTGGTGTGTGTGTGTGTGTGTGTGTGTGTGGGGTAGGTACAGTCCAATAGCTGATCTCTGGATTTTATGACATTATGACCCATACAGACATTTAAAAATATATATTTTACTTTAAAGGAAACAAGAAAGAACTTTACATATGCAATCATAACCTATGCTGAACTGCTACAAGAATGACATTTTCTCTGCAGAAAATCAAACAATAAAGTCCACCACTGCTTGTTAAACTATAGTAATTTCACTGTGACTATATTAGTTTTGCTTTAGCAAGAGATAAAAACCATAAAGACAAATCACCCTGAACTGTATTATATGTATATCCATGTAGTCAGCAAAGAGTATTTATCATGCTGATGTTCTTATCAAAGACAAGGCTGATCTTTGCAACTTTATGTGCTTTGCTACATTATTATTAATTGCAGCTATGTGGTGCCATTTGCAGTGTAGGTAAACAGATTGGTGCTGTACTTGGATGTAACTAAATGTGGAAACTGGTCTTTACCTAAGCTTACCACATCAACTTTGCATCTACAAGCCAGAACCAATTGCAATTCTAGTACAGTGGCTGCATGCAGAGATCCACATGGTCATAAATACATCTAACAAAGCAAGTGGATATCCAATTTTCAGTTTATGCACACATATCATATTTCAGCATATGGTGAGGTACAATTTTACGGGCTGTTATTATCGCCCTGTAAATAGCCATTTTAAGTATTCACATTGAAGCAGTGAGCTTGGGGGGAACTATATTTGTACAGTATATTCATTTTTAAATAAACGTCAGGGTCAGTTTTTAGTACTGGAATCTGTAGGCATACAAGTTTTAGTGCCTAAAATTAACAACAGCCACAGCAGTCAAAACTTTTTTTTTTTTTTAGTTTTGGACACAGTGGGCAAGGGTTAGATAGAACAACTGTCAGGTATTTTTTTGCTTTCTTTGTCTCTGGGGAGATTTCCCCTTAATTATACTTCCGGAGACATGACAGGAATAGAAATCACAGGAACTGTGGTGGTATCCTACCTTTGGCAGTTGTGATTTTCCTTTTCTGGTCACAAAACTAACATATAGAACTTCCCTTTAGTAAGGCAGGCCTCCTGTCTTTGTTTAATAGATTTCTGCCCACTTCTGAGACATCCTTAAACTAGGCAGGAAGTAGAGAGCAATATTTCAAATGGGAACACAGGGAGTAAAACAAAAATTCTAACCCTTCCACACCCTCTATTCACAAATAAGAAAATGGAGTAAGGCTTTAAGAGAGTTCTCTTTGCTGTTATTAGGCATATCTGACTAATTCATAAATATAGGAGCACTGAAGATAAACAGAAATGTTAAAATAACTGATGAAAATAAAAAGTTATTGTGTTCAGTTATAAGTTATAAATTTATTGTGATCAGGTAGCCCCACTGCACAAAGTGCATTATATATTACACTGATGCATAATAAGTAACAAATAAGCTACTCTTCATTCTGCATATTTTTCAGTGTTTTCTAGTTTCACCTACATTTCCGAACAACTTGGTCTTATTTTAGTAAACATGCAGAGATGTGGGTCATGATAAAATATATTAAATGGGTTTTATGGCTATCCTGCTACATTTTAATGTGCCCTTCTTTACTATCATAGGAATATACCATTGATATATTTTTTGCACAAACCTGGTATGACAGGCGCCTGAAATTCAACAGTACCATAAAAGTCCTCAGACTGAACAGTAATATGGTTGGAAAGATCTGGATACCAGATACATTTTTTCGTAACTCGAAAAAAGCAGATGCACATTGGATAACAACTCCTAACCGAATGCTGAGGATATGGAATGATGGAAAAGTGCTTTACACACTCAGGTATGAATTTTGGTTCTAAATGTGTTAGTTTAGTGCTGGAAACTAGGGATGCACCGATACCAGTTCAGATACCAGTACCGATACTTGGCATTTTCATGAGAACTACCAGGGTTGCAGCGGTTGCAGCTGGGACCTAGCTCGGGAGCTCCACCACTGTCCTGAAATCATTAGTCAATATTGTTTTAGAAAAACTGTCCTATGACAATAAACAAAAATGTATCAGTACTTGTATCTGTAAGTACTTGGACAAGTATCAGTACTTGTACTTGCAAAACTGGTATCGGTGCATCCCTTTATATATGTTTATAAAAACAAAATCATACATTAAAATAGAGATGTGCAAATCCCAGGAGCTCCGTGTGCTCTTTACAAATGACAGCTGCCTGCTAACTTTTGAATTTTCCTCTAGTCTAGTCTTGGAGCTCGAAAAGTATCTGTACTTGTACCGAGTACGGTACTTGGTATTGGTGGATCACTACTGGAAACAATGGCAGTCTCCACATGTCCCTCAAGCCAGGTTTGATGATTAAATAGGGAGTATACAGATGTATAATAATCTGGCAAGTTAAAACAATAAAAATAAATACATTTAACATTATGAAAATAATTATGGTGATTAAAGCTATATTTCAGACAAAACTGTTAAATACACAGCTAATAAAGGGGTATCTGAACTGTGTTTCCTGACAATAACATTTGTAATTCTATTTAGCCAGCCGTTTGTATTAGGGATGCACCAATACTGTTTTTTCGGTATCGAGTATAAGTACCGATATTTTGCTTTTGGTAATCACAGATACCGAGTACCAGTGCTTCCGCTGGCATGGAGCTGACTTCCCGGGCAATCAGGAAGCCGGGCAGCATGTAATGACCCACCTCCCTAAATTGGCCGGGAAGCTGTCTCCTTGGTGATTGGCTGGAAAGCCGGCTGTTCGGCTGGCTCGATGCTGATTTACCGGTAAGCCAGCTTCCAAGCCAATCAGCATGGAGCCGGCTTCCCGCCTAATCAGGATGCCGGGAGGCGGATCATTACTCGCCACCTGGCTTCCTGATTGCCCAGGAAGCCAGCTCCATGTTCCCATACGGCACTGCCAGTCAGAGGAAATTTTCCTCTGACCGGAAGTTCAGGTATCAGGGAAGGTATCGGAGCATTTGGGCAAGTACTCACACTCTCCCAAATACTTGGTATTGGCACCGATACTGGTATCTGTATCAATGCATCCCTAGTTTGTATAATATAAAAAAGGCCACGAGCTAAAACACAGTGCTGTTTATGTAACACTGGGAGCTTGCTGACATAAGTTGACAGCAGAGTTAGTTGAGAGATGGCATCTTTGGTGTGCTGATACTTTTTCACTGTCCAAACAGTAGGCTGTAAGTGAGCATCCACACACTAAATATGCCATTCCTCTGCTCATTCTGCTGTTTACTACTGTCAGCAAGCTCCCACTGTTAGATAACGAGCCCTAAGCACAGGACAAGTACAATTATACTTCATTTGTGATTGTTAGCTCTTTGGACAATCAATCCCATTTGCTGCCATCTTAGTTATTACTGGGGGATTTTTTGTTTATCCTTAATGTTATTCTGTCATTAATTTGATGTCAGCAGTCACTTTTAGCTGCTGCCCCAGTATTTATTTTGATAGGGCCTTTTTTCAGTTTTACGCTTTATTCTTTTGTATTAAATTTATTATATAAAAACCAAAACATATTAACAAAGATGACTTCTAAAATATATAACAGGACATATATCTGTATACCCGGATTACTGGTCTTGAGCATAAAGAGCATGCATGAATAAAGAAAAAATATGTATATTATTACAATTTTTGCCCCAACCGACCTCAGCGAGAACAGAAGGCCCTCTTCTTGTAATTAGCTGTTATTATTGGAGGATCATTGGAAATCATCCTCTTAGTATACAACGGTGTCAGAATAAAAGATTGCATAAACCTACATTTTGTAATGGTCAACAGGAGATCAATAAAGGATTATCATACCTCAAAAACCTCTTGGGTCTGAGTATCCTTACTAAGCATTGTCTCCATCCAATCATTTTGAAAGACAAACATCAACTTATTCAAAACAAGGGTTAGGGAAGGTGGTTCAGAATATATCCATAAATGACTTCCTCAGGCAGACATTCTCTATGCATACGAAGTATGTATATAAGACTGAGATCAGGTACTAGGTTTTCATCCAAGTCAGAGTCTGTATAACTACACATGCCATGGATCCAATCTCTCACAAATCTAGTAGCAGCTGCTAAGGTATATAGTTTCAGGTCTGGAAAATTAAGCCCTCCATTGTTCACAAATTGTTGTAATACATGGAGAGTAATTTTAGAATGTCTCTTTCCCCAGATAAACCTCCGAAAGTCCTGAAGCAGCCTTTGATGATCTTCCTTTTCCAATATAATAGGAAGGATTTGTAAAATATACAACAGTTTCGGGAAAATAGTCATTTTAATCTCACTAACCCTTCCCATGTATTTCAGAGTAAGATGGGACCATTTATCTTATAATTCAAAGGGCCTTTTTTTAAAGTTTGACCTGTTAATGAACAATGTGCACCTAAACCGCCTCAAATTTTAAGAGTAACATTCACTGCACTGTAAAAAGCCACTGTAAAAATAAAGTTAGGCAAAGAATGGTTAGCCTAATTATCCCTGATGAAACCTGTCTTTCTGCTGGCCAAATTTTAATCTGCTGTATTCTCTGCAGTATCCTAATTCCTGTAAATCTCTAGTTACCTTTAAGCCTAGTCTTTATCATCAAAATTGTCCTGCTTCTGGCCAGTTGTACACTGTTGTATCATCAGTTTCTTGAGTCTTGTAGTAAATCAGCAAGCACCTGCCTGTACTGTTTGTCTCTAGTAAATGTTAATGTTATTATGCATCACCTGCACTCCATATGGTGTTATAGACCATGAGGTTTGTAAGTTTCAGTGCTCAAAGTGATGTGTACTCAAAAAGACATGAATGAATCACCAGCGCTCACAGAATACAACAGTGTGAATATCTTGTTTTGTTATTAAATCGAACATGCTTAATACAAGCCAACATTTTGGAGCCACGCAGGGTCCTTTTCTCAGGGTGACATAGTGACAACCTTGTCACTATGTCATCCTGAGGAAGAGACCATGCGTGGCCCTAAAACATTAGCTTTTGTGAAGCATGTTCAATAAATAACGAACAAGATATTCACGCTATTAGATTCTGTGATTGCTGGTGATTCCTTCATCCATTTCTAATACATTTCAGACAATTCTCCCTCATGAACAATGACCTGCTGCTTGCCAATTTTACACCATGTCAGGTGAAAGTGGTCCTATTATCACTAAATGAAAAATCAGCTACTAAAACTACCCGAATCGCCTTTTTTTCCAAACTGCAATGAATCTGAATGGGCTGCTGCTGTTGTATGTAAGCCAAGCTAATTGTAAAAAAAAGAAATAATTTACCATCAAACTATGTATTGCTCATCCCTACTTATCACACATGATACCACAAAATTCACTTATTTTTCAACTTAAATTCCGTTGAAAAGATGTGTGAATTGTTGGTTAAAGTTGTGTGAATCTTAAGTGAAAACATTTATAAATAGAAACCTACTTTTGCAATGCCATAACAATTCCCTGGTAGTCAGTATTTTTTTTAAATTTAAAATAAAGTTGGCAAACTGGCAAATATATTTGGAGCTACATGCCATGTCAGTCTTCCTATATATTCAGTCACCGCAATCATCTATAAGAGCTCTAGCTTTAGGTCATATATTATAAAATTATTTCAACTAAACAGGCTTTTCTGGAGTCTTTATGTTTCTCTAATGCAGTACATTCTTGAGAGACCCTGACTTTCAAAAAGACAGTAAATTATTTTCCATATGCATACATTATATAACAATTATAGGAAAGGGTAGCCACTCAAATAATATAACACTATCATGAGTGGGGAAATCCAGTGAGTGCACAATGCAATACAAAGATAGGTCATGTGACCTCCTGAATCATATAGTCACTAAACTCCTTGGTGAAAGCGAATATTCACATACTTTACAGGACATGTAATCAGTGGTCCTGTATACTGTTTTAGAAGTTTTCCTAAAGCCAAATAAAAGATATATAGTAACACCAATATCCAATAATTTATTTTTCTCCCGCAGGCTTACAATAGATGCTGAGTGTCTACTTCGGCTGAATAACTTTCCAATGGATGAGCATTCTTGTCCACTACAATTTTCAAGCTGTAAGTATTTTTTTTAACATTTACTTTACTAGACAGAATTGGTTTTATTATAATTATAAAGCATATATGAAAAATCATTATATACTGGGGTAAATTTATCAAAACTTGAGCAGACTGAATCTGGAGCAGTTGGCCACAGTAACCAATCAATTGTCTCTTCAGTTTGTTCAGTTAAGCTTTGAAAATGAAAGATTGAAGTTGAGTGGTTCCTGTAAGCAACTGCTCCAGATTCTGTCTGCTCCAGTTTTGATAAATTCCCCCTGCTGTGTTTAGCTCTGAGTTTTCTAAATGTAAGTGTGAATGAAATAAACAATTATGGCATGAACAGAAAACAGTTAATTAAAATGGCATTTGATGAAAGTATAGATGCTGAAAAGAAATTTATACCAAAATATGGTTTTAAAAATGTGTTTCTATATACTTTATATAAAGAAACCCATGATTGTTATGCATTTGTATTTGTATTTAAGATGGTTACCCAAAGGAAGAAATAATCTACCAATGGAAACGAAGCTCAGTAGAGGTGGGAGATATACGTTCATGGAGACTTTATCAGTTCTCCTTTGTTGGACTAAGAAATTCAACTGAAGAAGTGAAGACAACCTCAGGTAAAAAAAATGCATATCTTACTCATCATGAAATATACACATACACAAATGTATGTCATCTTATACAATAATTTTTTTAAATATATTTAAATAATATTGAAAAAATAATGTGCTGACTGTAGGAGTCTGCTGTGTGTAAATTGGCTTAGCTCAATGATAATGAACAACCCAAATTGCACCTTACTTAGTGCATGTGTAGAGGTTTAAGGCAACCCTGCTGCAAAAAATGAATTGCCCTCATATCCATACCCAATCTGTCCCTGCAAAAGATGCAGCATTTGGTGACTCGAGCAGCAGGAAAGGTGAGTATTCTCTTTTTTTTATTGATATGACAGGAACACTTAAACAACATTAAAGCCACAGAGGGGATTTCTGTGTGAAGGGATCAGGAAAACATTTTTACTAAATCTGTTGCTCCAGAATGGTGAGGAGTAATCCTGGTCTTTAAGTTAGAGAAGAACTCTGGACAAATAAAATCTTATTTTAATCTTATTTTATTATTATATACAATTCATTTTGTTTAGAGAGCTAAAATAATAGTTATATTTACCTCAACCATGATCCTGGCTGGCTCCTAGACTTGTCCCTTCAGTCTGTCTCCTCCTTCATTACAGCAATGAAATGTCCCTTCGTGTCCTCAGGTCCAATACACTGTGTTAGACATGATGAATCACTGGACCTTAGACCATGGAGCAGAGGAGAAACAAGGCTGAAGGGACGGATCTAGCAGCCAGCCCTGATCGTGAATTTTAGTCTACCCAGTAGTGATGGGCTCGGGCGTGTTCGCAAGCGCCTCGTGCCGAGCCCACCAGGAAGCCGTCAGTGCTCAGCGCCAATCACAGGCACTGAGACATGTTCCCGGTCCGAAGCTGCAGAGACAGAAATGTCTCAGTGCCTGTGATTGGTAACCGCCATCATCTAAGCCTGGAATGAGGGAGCATGTTTAGTACTAGGGATGCACTGATACCAGTTTTTTGGTATCGAGTACAGGTACCGATATGTATTTTTCTGTACTCGCCGATACAGAGTACTGATACTGCCACTAGCTTGTCATTACCAGCTGCCTGGCTTCCTGATTGCCCCGGAAGCGGGCTCCATGCTGTTTCACCACCTTGATGCTGATTGGCCCGGGAAGCTGGCTTCCTAGCCAATCAGCATGGAACCGCCTTCCCGGCCAATCAGGAAGCCGGGAGGTGGGTCATTACGCATTGCATGGCTTCCTGATTGGCCAAGAAGCTCCCTTCATGCTGTTGGGCCAGTTCCATGCTGATTGGCTAGGAAGACGGCTTCCCGGCCAATCAGCATGGAGCCGGGCCAAACAGCATGGAGCCGGCTTCCTGGCCAATCAGGAAGCCGGCAGCTAGTCATTATCTGAACCTCAGCTTCCTGATTGGCCAGGAAGCCGGCTCCATGTTCCCTCGCGGCACTGCCAGTCAGAGGAAATCTACCTCTGACCAGAAGTTCCGGTATTCGGTGTAAGTATCGGAGCATTTGGGTGAGTACGAGTACTCACAAATACAGTATAGACGTTAATGTGATTTGGATGGAAGCTGGAATTTATGGCGGAAGCTGTACCTCTCTGTGGGTTTTCTGTATAAAGAACAACTGAGTGAGCCATTGCTGACCGTTATGGCACAATCCAGAAAAAACACACTGAGTTCTGAGAAATTAAAAATTTTGAGTTTGATGGAGGGATGGAATGAATTGAATGATTCATTGAAGTTTAAAAGGCTTTCTTCTCCTTCTGCCCATATTACGAAAATATCATCAATATAACAATAATATTTGAATGGTTTGTGAGGGTGAGTGGCTAGGAATCGGTATTCTAGGTCAGCCATGAAGAGATTGGCATATTGTGGTGACATTTTTGTGCCCATAGCAGTCCCGGTCATTTGTAAATAGATGTTGTCATTGAAATTGAAATAGTTGTGTGTCAGTATAAATTCAATGAGTTTGGTAATGGTTTCACTATAATAATTATGTCTGACATATTGGGAGGAAAGGAATTTGGTGCCGGCCTCAATACCATCTTTATGGGGGATGTTACTGTACAAAGATAACACATCCATGGTGACAAGTATAGTATTAGCAGGTAGGTTAGTGATTTGGCTCAGTTTGTTCAGAAAATCTGTGGTGTCTTGTATAAGACTCCCAGTGTTGATAACCAGGGGCTTCAAAATGTTTTCAATTAAGCCAGATATTTGTTCTGTATTTGTTTCCATACCTGTAATAATGGGTCGTCCTGGGTTTCCTGGCTTGTGGATTTTGGGCAGCATGTAGAAGGTCCCCATGTTAGGATTGGAAGGTAGCAGATTAAGTAATCCTTGCTGTATGTGTTTTGGGAAGGATTTGATACGTTTAATAAGTTCTTCTGTATATTCCCTGGTGGGTTCCTGGTCCAGTTGTTTGTAGTAGTTTTTATCAGACAATTGTCAGTTTTCTTCTGCAATGTAGTCCTGGGTGTTTATGATAACTATTGATCCGCCCTTGTCAGCTGGTTTGATGATGATGTGTTTATCACTCATTAAGTTATGTAAGGCTTTTCTTTCTGCAGGTAGGAGGTTGTTTGTATTTTTTTTTCTGTTGTGTGGTAACAAGGGATGCTACTCTAGTGCGGAAGCTTTCAATGTCATTGTCCAATTTCATGTCACGTCCTGTTGCAGGTGTAAAGCCTTCATTCTTTTTTCTGCTGTCCAGGCTGAATGTGGTGATATCTTTGTCAAAGAAAAATTCCTTAAGCCTCAGTCTTCTATAGAATTCTTCCAAGTCTGAGTATAAATGTATGTGATCCAGTTTGGTGCTTGGACAAACACTTGTGTGTGTTTTATATAATACATAAACACACACACACACACACGCACACACACAATTATACACACCTTACCATCTTGTCTTGAATTGTATTGTAATGTCTTCCTTACATTGTAAAGCGCTGCGCAAACTGTTGGCGCTATATAAATACTATGTAATAATAATAATAATAATATACATACACACACACCGGCCACTTTATTAGATACACCTGTTCAATTGCTTGGTAACAAAAATTGCTAATCAGCCAATCACATGGCAGCAACTCAATGCATTAAGACATCTAGACATGGTGAAGACGACTTGCTGAAGTTCAGACCGAGCATCAGAATGAAAAAGAAAAGGGATCTAAGTGACTTTGAATGTCGCATGGTTATTGGTGGCAGAGAGAGCTGGTCTGTTTTTTTCAAAAACTGCTGATCTACTTTCACACACAACCATCTCTAGGGTTTATAGAGAATGGTCTGTAAAAGATCAAATATCCAGTGAGCGGCAGGTGTGTGGACGAAAAATGCTTTGTAGAGGTCAGAGGAGAATGGGTAGACTGGTTTGAGATGATAGAAAGGCAACAGTAACTCAAATAACCACTCGTTACATCCGAGGTATGCAGAATGCCATCTCTGAACGCACAACACGTCGAACCTTGAAGCAGATGGGCTACAGCAGCAGAAGACCACACCGGGTGCCACTCCTGTCAGCTAAGAACCGGAAACGGAGGCTACAATTCACACAGGCTCACCAAAATTGGACAATAGAAGATTGGAAAAACGTTGCCTGGTATGATGAGTCTCAATTTCACCTGCGACATTCAGATGGTAGGGTCAGGATTTGGCATAAACATAAAGCATGGAGCCATCCTGCCTTGTATCAACGGTTCAGGCTGGTGGTGGTATAATGGTGTGGGGGATATTTTCTTAGCACACTTTGGGCCCGTGATGCTATCATGTCAATATGAACCAAAATCTCTGAGGAATGTTTCCAACACCTTGTGAATCCATAAAGAATTAAAGCAGTTCTGAAGGCAAAAGGTGGTGCAACCTGGTACTAGCAAGGTGTACCTAATAAAGTGGCTGGTGAGTGCATATACACACACACATCATATGTAATTTAAACCTGACTATATACATGACTATATATTTATGATGTCACAGGATATTTATAGCTTTCCCCTTGTAACTTGTTCACTGCCACTCCCAGCATCTGAGAAAGATTGCACAGTTGAAGGTACATTGAGGATGCATTGCATCTTATCACAACACTAGGAATAATTATGTGCAGATCTTACATTGAAACATAACATAGAACCACTATGCAAGCATCCACTTATCTTTTTCGTAAAATTATACTCTCTAAGCTTACGGGTCTATTCACTAAGCTGCCGTAGGCAGCCGAGTGAATGACCGACCTGAAGTAAGGTGACTCACTTCAGGCTGGTACGGCTGATTTCAGCCGTATATCGGCTGAAATCAGACGTACATCGACTTGCTTCGCATGGCTTCGGGTTGGCCGAACATGCTCAGTATGTTCGGCCGACCCGAAGTGCAGAAGGAGTTCGACTCAGCCGATCCAACATCTGGATCGGCTGAGCGGAACCTTCGGCAGGCTACTCACTGCTGTTCGGCCTATTGTTATAGATGCCGAACAGCAGTGAGTGAATAGCCGAATGCCGCTGAGCGGCATTCGGCTGTTCTGCTCGGTCCCTCAGAGGGACCGAGCAGAACAGAAAAATTGTTTAAAAAGTTTTTAAAAAGTAAATAGGAAACAATTGGGTGGAGCTAGCAGTGACAGCTAGCTCCGCCCAATAGTTTTCTATTGTCCGGCGGCTCTGCTGCCGTCAAAAGAAAAAAAAACTCTCCCGGGCGCTCTGGGAGCCTCCCGCTACCGGCCGCCCAGGAGAGAAACACTGCTTCTTCTTTTCTTTTTTCTTTATTCTGACACAGAGCCAGAGAAAAAAATATATATTTTTGCCCATTGGAATGCATTGCTACATTACTAATGGCTATTTCAATTTGCAATAGCCAATAGTAAACTAGCATTGTACCCGCCCTCTGCTGATGGACCTGATGGAGAACTGCAGCAGAGGGCGGGTACAATGCTAGTTTACTATTGGCTACTGCAAATTGAAATAGCCAATAGGAATCTAGCAATGCATTCCAATGGGCAAAAAATATTTATTTTGTTTCTATTCT